CGCGGCCCCGGCGGGAGCCTCCCGTCGCAGACAAGCACACGGCTGTTCCCTGCGGGCACCGGGAGCCCAACCCCGGGCAGCAGCGCCGCTTTCTTCCTCCGGTCAATGTTTAACCGGCGCATTCATCCGGCGTGAAAGAGCTGCAGTGTGAGGGCAGGAGGGGCACGGGCAGGCGCAGGGACGGACAAACATCCTTCTGATGCCCTTCCCAGAGCACACCCTGATTTTTTCCTGTGCTGCCAAAGTGCTGGTGCCAGCCACAGCCGACAGCACCCGGCTGAGCACGTGCACGACATCCACAGAGCTTTCGGCGGCGCCGGGGCACCGGGCAGTGCCTGGGTTTCCCCCCAGGCTCTTCACTCCAGGTGCAAGCGTTGGTGTCCTGCCAGCCCCAAACCATGGCAATCACCACCTCATTTCGTACAGTGCCCCACGCCTGCCCTGCTCCCGAGCGGCATCTCCATCCCAAAGGATGCAAAGAGCTTGGAGAACACCAGGCAACGTCCCGGCTCTGCAGCAGATCCATGTGCTGCTGAAAACATGGTGCAGACCCATGGCCAGGCCTGATGCAAATTTAATTGAATGGGAATGAGATGTATTTTATGTCCTTAAAGCACATTAAGTGCTTGGAAGTTAATTGGTATTTAATCAGCATAAATTAAGCTCTTTAATAATACTCAGGGAAAAACAACACAGTATTACAGATGCTTTATTAAGAGTCACCCTGACGAATTAAAAATGAACGTGTTGAACACATCAACGGCAAAACAGGGAAGCACACGTGGCCACGCTTGGGCTGTCCCCCATCTCCTGCCCCCCTTGCCTGTGCCCGGGGACTGTGGTCAGCAGTGTCGCCGCCCCAGTGGGACCCTGGTCCTGTGCCCCTCGCCTGCACCCGCTGGGTGAAGGGTGCTGGGGCCGGGGTGCAGGAGGGAGCGGCCCCACACAGGGGCCCCGAGCAGCTGGGGGGCCCCACAGGGGGTCCCCCCCTCCGTGGCACCCACCTCCCACCAGCACTCGCTCCCGCACTCCCCAGGGTCCCGCTGGGGAGGAAGCAGCGACTTTGCTCCTTGTTTGGTTTGGCATTTTTTGTGGCGTTGCCATGACAACCGTCCCGGTGACATCTTCATGCTATTTGTCTCCTCCCGCGGGTTGCATCATTTTCTTTCCTGAATGAGCAGCTCCCTGTGTCCAGCTCACCTGGGCGCGCTGCCCACTGCGGGCTCCTGCCATCCCTGCCCAGCCCCAGGAGAGGTGCCCGTGGGAAGGGTTGCAGGCAAACACACACTGAGCCAGGGATGCTTAATTCCAGCATTTCCTCACTTTGGCATCCCTACAGCCTCATCCCTTTCTAAAGAAGAACACCCCGTATGTGTGGGTCAGCCCCGGGCTGGGAAAACAGAAGGCTGAAAACAGAGGTGACATTGTGCAGAGCTCTGCCAGCCCCACGGGGACACCGGGAACTCGGGAACATCCTCCCTGACCCGGCGACAGCTTTTCTGCCTCTGCACGGAGCAGCCCAGGAAGCACCAGCTTTGCCCAGGGGTTTCCCACTGGCAGTGAGAGAGGGGGAACGGCCAGAGCCCCGCACAGGGGGCCTGGCCCTGGGAGGGGGCTACTGCCCCCCCAGCCCTCTCCCACTCCTGTCTCTCCCTGCCCCAATTCCAGACTGGTGCCCCGGTGCTGGGCCGGGCAGGGTGAGCAGCCCTGCTGCTGGGGGGCACAGCTCTCCCAGCACAGCCCCCTGCCCAGGGCCACACACGCAACAGACGTTTCCCAAGTGAAAAGTTTGGAAAATTAGGAGTAACTTGAGGGGTTCCCTGCCAGGGCTGGGATTAGGCACAGCGACACTCGTGTGCCAGTTCACCACCACCCAGCAAGCCCTCGGGAGGGGGTCCCCACAAGTCTCCCCCCTGGAGGAGGCTGGGGGGCCGCAGGGA